GCTAATAAAACAAGGTCGTCTGCAAACAGCAACCTTCTCGACTTAACATCTCCTATACCGATACCCTCATACATACACATATTACCTAGCTAAAACGTCCTGCAATAAAAACTTACTACCGCTGAGTAATCAACTCCATTCGTGCCAAACGGATTCCATTTATCCACTTTATCCAACATGTTCATTACACTAAACCAAGCTCAATTATTGACGGTCACGGTGGGAAGCAGCTGCGGCGCTTTGTTGGTCAGCGTACCTGTACATAATGTAGACGGAGTTTGCTGAAATTTGATTTATTGAAATTTTAACACAGAATGTGCAAAATAAATGACAAGTATGATGATATCCATAAAAGTAATAATATGAATATGAAGATCTCACTGAAGAGACATTGACTGCATAGGCCTGAGGAGGCACTAATTATCCAAATCCTGAGCAGATGTCATCCGTGACAAATAATAAGAATTATGCGAAGATTGGATGAGCCTAGTTGCCCCTGTCGCCCTAAAACAAATCAGAGGCAAGGAGCGAAAGATTGTCTCCTGGGTCCGAATCAATTGAATGCTGTGGACGACAAACGAAATGCAAGAAACTCCAGTGAAATACGCGCCTAAACGTCTGTATTTATCAGTCACCGAAATAACCACATTACTTTTTGCATTATGCATCATTAAAATGTGCTTTATGCTGTTTTTTTCAGTATGACCATCGCGCACGAACGCGCGTTTCCATGATCAGTGATTTTAGGTTAACGGTGGTATTTCAGGCATACCTGCAGACCATTTAGTACTGTAATATTGCCCGCAGTGATTAGTAGTTTGTTATTACTAACTTGTAGTGATTGTTGTGTGGAAAGCGATATGAATCGATAAAAGATTTGTAGCATTATTCGTATCAAGTATTCCTGATCGAATGGTACTATCAGTTTTTCTTATTGCTGCTTCGGCTTTGGGAAAATGGTAGAAACGTAATCTTTATTAAAGTCACTGTGTTATTGTGAAATTTCCCTGCAGCTATATTGTTTGATATTATGTGACACCATATTGTTGCTGATAGGACAGGTGGTTGATATGTATAGATTCCGCTTTAAGTATCTTACAGCATTACCTCCTAACATTGCCCGTTATTCGGTCTGTTAGCAGTTTCAAACCTAGACGTATTCTCCTCTCGAGATATGAAAGTGTGATGGTATTCTCTTCAACATGACTTGTTTGTTCAAAGTTTTAGGAAGTACCGGCAGATTATTCCCACGCTCATGGTTGCTTTGAGGGTGTTGGGAAGTTCAGACTCTGGTAAACAGCAGCAGTCGCCTAATCATATAGTTTTATGCCACCCAGGTTACTTAAATCTGTGAAAGCACCCACGTACAATAAAAAATTCTTTGATTGTGATCAGTTCATTTTTCTCTTGAAGATATGTAATTATGCTTTATGCAGTTTTTATAATAATTATTTGGCGCTGATTCTTTTTTTCGATCCATATACTTCGGTGTTTCCATTTTCTCTGACAAATTGCTTCGCGAATGTGCTAATTTCGTTGGAGGTAATGCAGAATAGACTTAAAAGATATTTTTGCCTTTCTTAGAATTCTGTATGATTGTTTTGACGCAGGACGTGCCACGTCCACTTCACGCTTGCCCGATTTAATCCTCCTTAGAAATTGCAACTTTTTTCGAATAAGATTTTCTTGTTTCTTTGCAAAATTTTTAACTGTGCCGTTTTCAGCGATTATGAGTAAGTGATTTTCATCAGTCCACAAATAGGTTCCTCTTGCAAAGACCACGACAGTCTTGGTGGGCATTACTTAGTTGCCGTGAAAGGCACTCGAAGCTTCAGCGGCGACATGTTATGAATTCTGTAAGAAAAATGTTGACTATTGATTTGCGACCATATGGTGATACATTCTTTAGTTACAATGTCTGAAAAAGCTTATGGCAAATGTGAGAGGTCTGAAAACAAAGAGCGTATAACGAATCGACGCTGTACAGGGAGGGTTAAACGGGATTGTTGTGTACCAAGCTGTTCTTGGGAAAAGAAAAGAAATTAGTCACAGTTGGGGTGTCGATTTTTCACTTTCATAATTGGACCCGTTTGTGCCCTTTTTTTCCATCAAGTTGCGGTGCTGAACTATGTTTCCATGCTATCGGTCAGGAGTGCCATATTTTCTTATGTCAGAGTCTCTAGCGATGTTGCAAGCGTAGCGTGTAATCTCCTGTTTCATTTCCATTATCAGCCTCGAAAGGAAAAAGGACGAGTGACGCCGATCGGGATTGAAATTTATCAGTCTGAGTTCGACCCTCTGCCGTCTGAGCAGTCCCGATGTGAAGTAGTGTGAGGTAAATTCCTTACTCAAGCGAATTCGTGAATAAGACAAAGATTGTCCTTGAGCGCAGTCGAACCCAGTACCTCTGGAATTCAAAGCAGACCTTTTGGATACTATGCCAGCGGGCCACAGAGATACTCTTAACAGTGGTTGGAATAACTCTCTCCCCTTCATCTTATTTCACATTTAAGTTTGCTCATCGTAGCAATGTTCTGAACTGTGACATATCGATAGCATAGTCCATTGAAAGCAGTTTTTTTTTGCAATATTGTCGAAACATCGAACCAAATAGAAATTTAATGTTTCTTTGCGTTGACGGGACTCATTTTCAGTAATTGCATACCTTATTTCCAATACGTAGCTGTACATCCAGATGTTTAGACATTTTGAACGCAATGGCGACTCGACGAAAGATGGCTCAGAACGTAGAAAGGGTGGTTCAATCACCGTTGCTGCAATTTCTCCTGCGAAAATGCATTCGCTTCACTCGTTATGATTACAAAGGAAATCTTATTAGAGTAAGTAAATGATGCTCTATTCTGTATATATTTAAGGAAAACCTGGGGCCAATTTCTCCAAAAATTACTTCCATGGAAAAGAGAGCGTTTCAGACAGTTTGAAATGTGTTTGAAGATGGGTTAAAGCCTTCTCATTTTATAATGTGATCTATACATGAATTGGGAGAGTTTGTATGGAAAGGTACATGCTTGTCATTATCAACTAGTTTGTGTCTTAATATGAATCAAAGATACACATACGATTTTGCCATTAGTTAGTGCGGCACAGGCGCACTTTGAATGTTCGCCGATTCTTGTGCTTCTTAAATTGTATCAGTAACGAGACAGATCAATTACATTTTCTCTTGTTTGCTTCATTCTGTCAGTTTTGATGATCACTTATCTTTTTCGATCACAAAGGCAGATACGTCAAGCGGTGCCCTGATTTTAAGCCAGCGTTTGAGTTTTGAGTTTCTGCAAATGACAACCGGGGTCTAGAGCACACTCCTTCCATGTATTTTCACCAGGTTATTCTTGGCCATCCCCAGGGCTTTCGGCAGGTCGGCTAGGTAAGTAGTAGTAGCTGTTTCGCATTTGCTTCTGGAGGCATTCTTAAGATTTTCCCAAACCATCGTAGCTCTGACTTCTTAATCTGCAGAATCGGCAGCTGTGCACCAAGGCTCTGTCGGATATCTGAACTCCGAACCATATTCGAGACGTGTGAAGCTAGTAACTTCGTGTTTAGAGTTTTAAATGAATGTTCTACGACTAATGATCGACCGTATGTATGCAGCAGAACGAAGATCGTCTTGAACACAAAGAGTTTAGTGTTCAGCTTCAACTGCGCTTGCGTCACATTGTTTAGAGGTTGTTCATGCAGGACACCGCTGGCCATTCGAATTCGCTGATCGATTTCTTCCAGTTTTCCATATCCAGTAAGCATGACTCAAGGGACGTGAATTTCATTTGTTCCACTGCTCCTCCTTTTATCGGCAATAAAATTTTCATCCCATACCTCTTTTGCTGGTACACTCGTTTTTCGCAGCTGTACCTGACTGTTCTACACACGTACAGCAAAGACAGTAGAGGAAACAGAACACAGCCTTAGCGGAGACCAGTTCCAACAATGAAAAGTTTCGGCTTAACGCCATTTACTTTGACGAAGCACATGCTATGAACACTGACCGTCGATCTAATGCATGTTCTGATACTCGTAGCTTGTTGCACGGGATCTGATCATAGACGTTCTCTAGGTCTACTGTTGTTTACGATTTGCTCAATTTTAGTCTTTATAAGTTGGCTTATAGATATTCTCAACCATCTACTACAGTTCCCAAGATGGGCCCAGAATCGACTACTTCAGATCTTATTTCTTAAAATAAATGAATATCAATGATTTCTGTGACTGCGTCTTATATACTGCAGTGGCTCAGATTTCATGGAATTGTGGCGTGCATAAATGGTCTCCCTAGCCGATCAGATGCAACGGATCAGTACGGTATTGCAGCAAAACCCAGTGTAACGACTTCGTCAGTGTTGCACTGCCACCAAATCGTTTTAAAGTAACTTTCCGCCGCTCCGGTATCAGTAGTTGAAAGATTATATAATTTATTTTCTCTAGCACTGTTTTATTTGCACCTTCTTTTCAACCTGTTATAAACAAATGCCATGTTTTTCGTTATGTGTCTTAGTTTAGGTTGCTGTTGTATTTGTGTCCCATGCCGTAAATTGCAAAGTATGTCTGGGCATAAAATGGAGAAGAGTCTATGTGAATTGCGATTTTAATGGAAACATAAGGAACAATGTGTTGTATATCACAGGAAAAACGCACTACTTGGCTATGGTAGTATAAGTGACGAAACGAAAATATCCTATGGATATCAGAGGCATATGAAGTGACCCAGATGGATTCTTTCATTCTGAGACAGTAATGCTATTAGTGCATGACCGTGAGGACGTTATTGGTTATCAGTAACGAAGCACGTCTGTGAACGTAAGTACTGCATGGGTGTTTATTGTAATTGATCTCCGACCTCTGATTTGAAATGCCATGATCCTGGCCATGAGTCAAGAACAGTTTCAAAAGTGAAATTCATCCATTACAGTACAATGTGTAGATTCATTTCTGTGGCAGTCGCTTTGTCATTGCCAGTATGGTTTAGATGCATGATTGTTCGCTGTAGCTTACCGTAATTGTGCGTTGGCTTTCATGGTGCCCGCTTTCATTACTCCTGCCTTCTGGTAATTGTGTTAAACTGTGGACCAACATAATGTGCCACAAAAACTGTTCATTTTAGACCGAAGATTGTAATCCTCGGCGTTACCAAGACGAACTGTCTGCGCGTGACCAGCCGGACGTTCCTAACATTCCTGGAGGCATTCACCATCGACTGTCTGCAAATTACTATTACGAAAGGGATGCGCGACGAAACGTCGGTCCACCAAAAGTCATCGTGGAAGCTGAGGCTCCTTTATTCTTGACCAGGTACCTCATCTTATTATTATGTATGCATGGTTGATTGATTTTAATAGCACATAACAGCGTAAATATGATGAACAAAAGCAAAGCAAAAGTCTTTTTGTTGCTTGGAGCGAAATTGCATCTTTGAAACTTGAAAGCTGTAATATCGTAAACAAAGTATTCTGTGTAATATCGGGTGTGGGCTGTACTTCTGTTTTTAATTGTACCGTGACAGCGAAACACTTTCGTGCTTGTAAAGGTGGAGAATCGTATACGCATTAGGTGATGTAAACTGCTTTTGATTTTTGGTGGTGTTGATGTCCCTTGAGAATTTTTGTATTGTTTGTAACTTCTGATCATAGCCATTACGAAAGAATTAAATTTTCTAATTATCATATCGATTCAGTGTCACTGCTTGAAATTAGAAGACAGCCTTTTGATTCGATGGCAGTAGCCAAAAGGAATATTCACAGTTCGAAACTTTTTATTCTGCGTCGACGATCCGAACAACAAATGTTATCCCTCATCGGAGCAAACACTGAGCGAAAACATTAATATGATGTTGAGTGGCAAACAATCCAGTAAAAAATACAGCACTTTAAAATCATTCACATTAAGACATAGATGTTACTACGACAGAAATGCACAAATGAATTATTGCCTCTGGCATGGCGGTTAAATTATTTGGAAGCAGACTTGTCTTCATGGGTAAGCTGTTTTGTCCATTAGTCACTTGGCTTGCCTCCTGATTACTGCCAGAATGGCGAAGGAGGAAGTTCATTGTGAATGTTCACATCTGCATCGAGAGTACGTGCGTGGGAATCTCTGTGGACCGAACAAGACAGTTCCGTCTAGGTCGGTTGTTGTGTTGCCAATCGACTTTAATAATCCAATTAATTCAGTGACAGTTAAGTGACGAACAAAGTCACGCCACCTGATGTTGATAAGCAGCCTCTGATTGCTCACATGGAAGGCCTGGAGATTGTTTGCACCAGCTTTCTGCAGCGTCTTGGTCTCGGTCCACGGGCGGCAGAACTAGCAATGTGCAGATATAATAGAGCCGTAACTTGGTTTGCTACGATCTAGGGTGGATGATCGAAGCGCGACTAAGCGTTCGTGAAGCAACGACGACAAAGCACCTCAGGTCTGCAACATGCTGACGAGTTATGTAAGTTTATCAGGTACCTTAATTGTACCACACCTTCAACCGTTTAACCGTTTACGTGAGTGTTGGCGGCTGCCATACCTGTTGTCAGGTTTTATACTTTCATCTTTTGTCAGGAAATCTCTAGAGTCAGCTTGTTCGAGGTCTTGATGAACGCTGAGAGGAATTTAGGAGGAACTGTGAAAACAGGTAGAAAGTGCGACGACGTCTGCGTAAACCGCATCCGTCAGTTGAGATGCTCCAACACGAAGGTTCCAACGCTGTTGCATGTGCTCAAAGATTCTATCGATGACTCGAAGGAGCAAGCATTTACCTTTATTTCATTATTAGCAGTGTGATAAGTCGTTATGAGACAGCTGAGCCAATCCGAATATGAGTGTCTGTCCCCTGTCTAGTCACCTAAAACGTTCTACGGCAGGTGTAAGACACCGATGCCCTTAAGTGGTAAGAAGGTCATGAAGCGGTTCACTGAGTCAAAAGCTGATTTCAGGTGTACTTAATGCACGTGCAGCGGCCGGTTGAATTCCCGTGTATAGTTACCTTAACACCAAAATCCGGTGGCCATATCTGACGAAAAGGGGTTTAACCTCGCCAGCTGGATGTGCGCAAAGATCCTGTCAGGCACCGAGACGAGTGCTATTGGCTGGTAGCTGCTGCATTAGGATTTTGATCGTGTAGGCTTGAACAAGAGACGATAATTGCATCCTTCCATTCCGTTTACGAGGTGCGTGTACTTTCGGGAATAGGTGGTGGGGTCCTGTCTGTACTGACTGGCACGATGGCGCATTTCAAAAGCTATGACGGTTATTGGGCTATTTCTGTGTTTGTATGTAGTTTCAGTTACTTCAGTCACTGCAG